AAGGGAATAATTTATGCCAAGGAAGGATGTAGATTTGATATAAGTTGATAGCCTTGAAGTAGGGCTATTATTGATAGTTGTGTATCCCAGGGGGAGAATTTCCTACCAATTCCACTACTATCTGGTCATTTCTTCCAAACTTTTCGAGTTAGGAAGCCATCGATAGTCTTGATTCCTTGGCAGTACCTGTTAATGTTCCACTTATTAGAATCCTTATGAAGTTTTAATTTTTGTCAAAATTTCCAGAAATGTCTCGAGTGACAATGTGGTACTACATGGGTAGCACTCGACGAAAGAACATCTTGGGATAATCACTTTTGGTCCCCAATAGCACAAATTTTTCCAAACACGCTAGTGATCATTCCGGATCTTCAAGAGGAAGATCGACTTCCGTTTAAGTCCATTCTAAAGTAGATTACTAGAAAAGTTTATTTTTCCTACTTTAGAACCCTCTAACCAATACTAATTTCCCACATTACTTTTGGTGCTATACTCATCATTTTGATGAGCATTGGCATGGGAGTAAGAATTGTTATATCTATGGTCAGTAGAAATCCCCGAAGTAGTAAGTATATTCCCTAGAATTATGGCACTAGTTCTTAGTACCAGTTCTTTACCAAAAGACTGACTAACAGTTACTGCTGGAGCCTAAGAAACTAAATCTTGGAAAGTTTGGGGCAAACTCTATTTTAAGATAGTAAACTCACGGTTATGTTAACCATATTACCTATTTAGGTAATCAAATCTTCTTCGACTAGTCACCTCTTAATCAATTCCACAGGTAGACAATAGAATCGAAATATGAGATGATGTCTCACTGTTAGGGTGATTTGAGTGTCGAGAAAGTTGCGAAGACCTTTTTAGTTGGTGTCGTAAAATTGGTTAGTAGTATAGTACGTTTTGAGGATGTATACCTTTGGTGTCATTTCTCAAAATTTTACTTGGTATGCTACTGAATGTGAGAAGTAGAATACACCATTGATCCACCTCGTTAACACCACATTTATTCTCCCTATTTCTTATCGAACAACTCCTATATCAGTTTTCCTTATGACTTTTCAAACAAGTCCTACTTGATTGAAAGAACTTAGTTATTAAACACTTTTATCTTAGCAACTTCCTTGGATGACAATTAAAAACCGCTATCCTCTACTTTGAGTTGATGGTCTAATCGACCAACCTTTGTAAATCGAGTTTCCTTGTGTAGTTTGACGAATTCATAATAGTCTTGACTATCTCACCTATTCTAGTAACGAGATTAAATTCTCCAATTATCAACAGTCGGGTTCACATCAAATTTCTCAAATATTACCTTTGTGTAAATTGATACTTCTCCTCGGAGATGTGATTTCGTAAGTGATATTCTTTTCTTTTCTCCAAAAAGGTAGTAGTGGAAGAAAGTTGGAATTCTCACAAAGTGTTGTGAAATTCGAGACAAACTTTTATCTTGTCGACCAAGGAAAATTAGTTTGGTTTGGGATGTTAATTTGTAAGAGTATTGTCGAATGTAAACAACTCCCGTCGGGCCATAATTTCCCTCTTTTTCTTATCAAAATATGCCTTACTCATTGAGTGTACTCCGAAGTGTTCCTTTGCATGTTCCTATCATCCATCTCTTTTGTTTTGCCCGTTCTTTGTGCCTACACTTCCTTTTTTCTGCGGCAAGGGCATTTTGCTCAACCATTAATCACAATGAGGATGTCATTTACTCTCGAAAGGCTAAATCATCCTTTGCCTTGCCCTTTTCCTTCAATTTTCGGGCCTCATTTTGTCCTGTAGCCCTAGGTATGGAAGATTCAATAGGAGACGGATTTTCTACCCTTGTTTCTTGAATGATAGGAGATCCTTATTCATGCCCAACTGCATTTGAGGAAACATTTCCGAACACCAAATCTTTTTTGAGGTGGATCTTGAAATAACACCCACCCTTTACAAATTTCCCAACAATCGTGATGACTAAAGAGTTTTTTCATGTCCTCCATATACAATTCCTCCGCTTGGCATATCTAGAAAATATAATTACAAAAATGAAAGGAAATTAATTTATGAAATTAAATGTAATATAATTAAATATTTAAAATAACTTGTGAGAACACTTACTTCGTCGTAGTAATTGGCTCCACTTTCATGTCTGCTTTGGGCGTTTAACACTGCTTGATGTCATTTATTCAAACTTGGTTGAAGATGTTTTTTCCATCTTGAAGAACAAATCTCGTGGTTTTGAGGATTCAGTGGAGTGGTGCATTCGTAGAACTCAAAGTACTTTTTGGTCATACGAGTCCAAACACCTTCACTTGTTTGAGAACTCCCTTTGACACTATCTTTCAAGACCCAACAATAAGCCCTGCAAAGAGCTTCATCTTCTTTTCGGGTCCAAGCCTTTCATTTCATTGCAGATGTGGCCATTTGAAAATTATTGAAAAAATTGAAGGAAAGATTATTGGAAGAGGTAAGAGAATAGAATGTGAAGAATTGAAATAAAATGAGGTAAGATAGTATGGAATGGTGAAAATTATGTGAGAAATGGTGTAGGAATGACTTAGGTATTTATAGAAAAAAATTAGAATTTTTTTTTTCAAAAAATTCGTCCGAAAAGGAAAAATTCAAGTGCAATGGCAACCTAGCGTCAGCTAGCAAGTCATGCTAATGCCAGATTATCATTGCATTTGAATTTGTTAGGTCAGGAGAGAGCTGGGTGGATGAGGCTAGCCTGTCGGCCTGATTTCAATTTTTTGGCCCAGTGGGGCCCACAAGCCTTTGGCCTAGCCCTCGGTTGGAGTAGGCCTGGCAAACGGGTCGTGTCTGTCATGCTCGTGTCATTTTTGTGTAACACATGTTATCTTAACGAATAAAGTGACTTGACCTGTTATGACCCATTATAACTCGTTAAGAAAAAAAATATTTTTTTTCTTAAATTTGCACATACCACACATTGCCACATAAATATTACTTCAAAACATTAAAACACATTTGTCGTTTAAGTACTACATCTACACTTGAAAATAAAAGCCTAATAAAAAAACATTCATACACTACTAGTCTATTACAAAATATTAAATGTGCAAGGATATGCAAAATGAAAGAGTTTTTGTTTGCAAGGTTGTAAAGTTTTTCTCAAAAGTTTAAACCTTACCTATGGAACTCAAAGCTTGCATGTTATTCATTTTACAAAATCCTCAATTTTCATCGATCATCATGAGGAAATTGTATTGGAACTTTGACTTGATCTATTGCCTTCAAGAGTTATGTTGATAATGTTTTAAGTAAGGTTTTCTATGTCAGAACTCTCTTTCACATAAACTAAGTATAGAAAAACCAAACATTAAAAACCATTCAAATTATGAGAAGTTTACCAAAATAATTATGAGAAGAAATAAAACAATTGTACTATACCATATAAAATATATTAGCCTCCAACCTAATGCACAATGGACGGCTGAGATTAAACCTCAGCTGATCCAATGGTCACCAATTTTTTAAATTAAATATACATATAATTATTATAGTTTGTAAGGGTATAAAATTGTTCAATTAATATATACTAGTATGGGCATACACAAAGTGTGTGAGAAATTTTTTTATTGAAATACAAGGAGAGAGGAAGAGAGTGATAGAGAATCTGGGAAATAGGAAGTTTTGTTTTTATTTTTTTATAATTAAAGATATAATAAGATTACATGTAGGTGATGCTTTGAAAAAAAAAAATTTTGGTAGCATGAAATTACATTTCTACCCCATATTTCTGATTCATGTTCTGTTTTAATTAGAGGGTTAAACTGGTAATTTCATAGGGTTTTGGTTAACAATGAGTGTTTTATTAATTAGTAAAGATAATTATTATAGTATTTTTTTAGGGTTATAAAATTATTAAATTAATATTTTGCTTATCGTGTATCATGTTACCCACGTGTATACCCGAACCAACCCGTTATCTTAACAGTTGCTTATCGGGTTACCTAATAATGACTCGATTCGTTATCGTGTCAACCCGAACACTTGTTAATTTCGTATCGTGTCAGGTTATCAAGTCGTGTCAAAAATTACCAAAACTAGGTTGGAGACCATTTTCATGTCAAGTTGAACTATTTTTAGCCTTATAACTTTTTGACCTGATCGGTTGGAGATGACCCTAAAATCACGGAGCTGAGCTTGAAAACGGTATCACATAACTTTTTGGCGACATATTTGGGATCCTCGCACCAACTAAATTCAAATTGGATGAGATGATCTGAAACGAACAAGATGGAGCAAAATGATCGTTTTTTGAATAGGTGGTGGGGTTGGATGAGATGATCTGAAACTTTCCACTAGTATAGCTCAAATCCATCATTCTCGTGGTTTTGAGTAAGCAACCGAATGACTAATTTCGTCGTCGTACTGGGTCAAGAGGGTCAGGCGATTCATGGATTCAATCTCTCTTTCTTGTGTAACGTCTGTCGGATTCTCTCTCTGGTTTCTCTAGAAGGTACTCTGTCTCTCTCTAAACTATACCAACTCCTCTCTGTCTCACTTTAAAACCAGAACTATTTCTCGCCGATTAGAAATTTTCTTATGGTTTTCATCATATTCTCTTGGCTTCCGTCGGTTGGTGGGAAAGGTAAGGAAAAGAAAAAAAATATTGAATTTTCAGATTCTTTAATTGAAATTTGAATGCATGTGTTTGCAAGCTTAGACTATGAAAACATCCTGCTGAATTTGAACCTAGTAGTTTTGTGGTTTGCAATTTGATCTTGGTATTGTAATTCTGCTGCATTAACGAGAAAATATGCCCCTGCGTTGCTGCGGGACTTGAATGTATTAGTCGCAATAGGCATGAATAGTTTCCACACAAAGCAACTAAAAAGACGTAGCACCTAAAGAATCAATGAACAATTGGGACATCTTACTCACTCATATGTGTCTCAATCCCTATTTCAAATCCCTATTGAACAAAAGTTATATTTCTTCAAATTGAATCGACATCATTGATCAAGCAATTAAACATTCATACTGGCAAATAATTGACCCAAGAGTTGAGCAAATATATAGGGATTGGAAAAATACAAAGTGAGCACCAATGATACTGCACCAGTACAAAGAGCATTTGACACACCCCGACCTAAATCAGGGCGTGTTGGCCGTCACGTGAGAGAGACATAACCATATGCACAGTGCGGAAGCAAAAGAGATATAAGGAATTATCAATAAACAAAAACCAAATCAACTAGAGTACTAACTAAGATAGAGTGCTAGTGCAAGATTAAGTGTGAATTACACAACCAGAGGATAAATAGTTTAAGTGCAGTCAAGCAGGACAAGTGTTAATTATACAACACCTAAGGGTGATCCTACATTAATGTTTTTATGTCAGAACCCCCGTCGAAATCCTCGTGATCCACCAAGCACTTCTATCTAAAACCTGGAAGGGCACAAAACAGAAAGTGTGAGTAGGCAAAAACAAAGCTTTTCAAAATCATTTCATTTATCAAAAGTTCTAACCCCCTTACCATAAAACCTGTATAATTTCCCAGAAAATAATAGTGAAAATAAGCTGTATCATAAATTATACTCAAGATGAAAATCCATAAAAGTATACCATGCCAAAGTATCTCAATGCAATGCCATAAATAATTCAGACAAATATATCAATGCCAGATATCGCATCAGTTAAATCCCTCTAACTCAATCTGCAGGGCTGAATATATATATATATAGCTCATAACCAATCTCAATCATATCAAATCAAATCCTGCACACAAGTCAGAACCACCTAAAGTGGTCTGTATGACAAGACTAGGTGTAAAGTAAATATGCTCTAGTGCTACGATCACGTGAAGATTGTGCAAATAATCGCGGGTCACCTATAAGTCGGAACCACCTAAAGTGGTATATACGACAAGCATGTGCACCTAACTTGGATCCGAAGTGAGCATATGGTGCGAGAGGTGAACATCACATGAAGGACTGTGCCCTAACTCTGGGCGGGAGCACTAACACCGTGGTGCAGGTTTATGAGCTCTCAATACATCACATCATATATCACATAACTGAAGTAACCTCATTTCTTTAATTTATGAACTTACCTGACACTTACCTGTGCGTCCGCAGCACCAATCGTAAATATATGCAACTACTAATGCATAATAAAATAGACAGATACTTTGCTGGCATTTCAAAACGTATAATCATTCAAATTCATTTTCTGGGAAAAACTCAAGTATATAGGTATATACGGAAAACCAAAAGCCCACTCACTGATATGTTGAAGGGTCGTAGCCCCCGAGCCTCAATTGATGGCGCTCATCCTCATGATAAGTCTCACCTATATGTGAGATAACTAAATAAACGTTATTTAAAGCACATACACAAAACTAAGAAATAACTTCTCATACAAAGCTCAAATGGGGTATTTGAATATATCACCATGATCTACTCATCCTTAGGAACATCCCCAAATTTTTAGAAAAAAATTTCATGATCCCACACGCCGGCCAAGGCACGGCCAGACGCACAGCTCACACGCAGGAACGTGCCTGGCACACCAAACGGATTCCCTAACGGTGTTAGGGAATATTCTGTCAAAAATCAGAATATGCCGTTAAAGTTACCTGACGGCGTCAAAATGTTCCGTCAATTTTGATGGAATATTCTCCTCCTTCTTCTTTGGTTTGTCGGAGTCCGGCGCCGGTCACCGCTGCACTCGCCGAAAACTGGAAAATCTTAAAACTTCAATATCTTCTTCGTTTCTTCACCAAAATTCATGAAATTTGAACCAAATTGAAGCTTAGGATGAGAGGAACAAAACCTTACCACTTTCAAGCCTTGAAATCCACGAAATCTTGCCAGAGAACCCTCGATAATTCGGCCAAAATTTGAAACTTGTCAAACCTTACTTCCCGACGTCCAAAACACTTCTTTTTTCTTCTCCGAGCTTCACGAAGATGTTTTAAGGCTTTCTAGCAGCTTAAAAAATCTCCTAAAAACTTCACAATCACGAATGCATAAACAGTAACCCAAAACTGGGTTCTCGGATTGTCGGGAAAATGAAGTCTTCACATTCTAAAAACGCTATAGATGTGTTCCTAAGCTCACAAGGAACACAAAGATGACTTCAAAAGCCTTGATCCCGTGAAGAAATTGCTTGGTTTGAGGTTTGTCCGTACGTATTGTACGAAAAAATGGAGAAAAACCGAGAGGGAGGAGAGAGATAGAGGGTCAACGGGATTGGGTATGGGTGTGTGTATGGTCCAGATTTTCTTACAAACAACCAAAACAATTAGAACCTTGAGTTTTAATTGGGTCCAAAAATTTAGAAACTTAACATATTGGACCACCTCTAAAAGTATGTCACACACAACACCTCAACGTCCAAGGGCAAAATAGACATTTCACACTAACAATAAAATAATCTGGGACGGGCTGTGACAACATCACTCACCAGATAATCTAGCTTGAAATGATAGGGAAAGAACCTTGACTAAGATCTTCAATCATTGAGACAACCCAAATGAATACAGAAAAACACAATTAATAAACACGGGGACAAAGAACCTGAGAAGCAGAAACAAACTTCTATGCACAAAAAAATTGTGCAAGTAAACAAACATCCAGTTATACTGAGACTTGAATGATCCATGTTTTATAATATAACTTAAGCCCAACCATAAATTTACAAAAAAATTTGGTAGAATTATTAACATAACTCGGAAAAAAAAAGACTCAACTTTGCAATTAAATTTCTTACATAACTTAAACCCGACAAATTTAACTAATTAGATTCATCCACAAAATAGATTTTAACATAACCTCAAAGAGTTTATTCTAACCAAGTAAACCATTACTCAACAAAAAACATGTAGACAAAGCTCTTATCAAAATCACAATATTGTAATGAACAGGAACTTCAAAATAATCTCAGCTACGCATTTTTCCAAAACGAAGGAAAAATCTACTTTGTAACTTAACTTAATATACGAAACCACCAATTGAAACCACCAATTTAGTCACCTAAAATTCATAACCAACGCAGAAAACAACTCCAAATCCTTAGGTTTACACTTGTATGAGCCAAAGGTCAAGTTTTTACAAAACACTCATCCCACAATATGAAAAACAGATCGAAAAATTAAATTTTTGTATAGAAATAAGCCCGAAGGTTCAATTTTTACAGACACGGTCATTTTATACACAATAAGCATACATAAAAACATAAAACTTGACAAATTTTCATTAACTTCTCAACCAAGACAAAGAACTTAGTGGGTGCTGATGAATGAAAAATAATTCAGAATTGTTTTTACATTTTTATTATTTTCTAAGTTTTTCCCGAAGCCAAATTAAACCAACATGCTTACAAAAAATTTATACATGTAAGGCTGGAGAATGCTTTCAAGGCCTTTTTCTTTTCTCTGTCGTTAAGTAAATCCAATTTCACTACCACTTTCTGCTGAAAGAAAACAATTTTCAATTAACAAATTGTTTTGATAGAGAAAATGGAAATTCATTAATACAAATACCAATACTGATTTCTGGGATTTTAGGGTTTTTTTTGTTACCCTTGTAACTAAAAGCCTAAAAATCCTAGAAAAATGCCAAGAAGCTTAAGCATAAAAAATCATATTTTCAACAACCAAAACCCAATATCGATTTAATCATAAACGAAAGAAGATATTAAAATCTAAACACAAAGTCACAAATTAACGAATTGAAAACCCACAAAAAAATACATAAAATAAAAATAAAAATAGGCAACTGGCCTTAAAACAAAGAATAAATACACAGAACAGAGAAAAGTGTACCCAAAATGAGAGAAAATGAAACAAATATTTAGAGAGACAACCATCCCCCAAAACCTGACCTAACTGTACTAAAAAATTTGAAAATAATCAATAGCCTTTTAATCACTACATGTAGGGGACAATAATGAAATAAAATACAAAACTAAGGATTTTTAAATGCCACAATATTTAACAACTACCATACATAGTTCTTTAAAAATGAGTATAAACTAACCTGTAATCACAACAGCAAACAACAACAAAATAAAAAAAAAATCAGAGAACGCAATATTCTTTCATATTTTCTAATAAATTTTAAACCTAGAAATGGTTACATCTACCTTTTATTTACACCCCACCTGTTGCTCTACCCTTGCATCTATTAATCCAAATTCATTCAAGAAACAATGCAGAGGAGAAATGCACTCAAAATCAAAAGATAATGGTGAATTGGTGATGCGGATGCTAAGATTAGCAATTGATTAGCTTTTGTTATACAATTGGGGTACAAATGCTAAGATGGCTTTGGAAAAAAAGCAATTGGCGTCATACCTTTCCAAATCAAGAGAAGCAAACTGGCAAAATTTATCATAAATTAGAGGCATACCTTTCTGAAGTGTGGAATAAGAGCTAGCAGAAAACTGGTAGTACCCTGAAATTAACAATAAATTTAACAAATTGGATGATGAAAATCAAAACAAAGAAGCCTAAGAAACAATTAAGAGGGAAAGAGAGTACGTCTACAATGAAATTCAGATTAAGAGGGTGTGATTTTAGCTTTTGGATTACTCAGGGCCAGGGTTGTAATCTATATTCATATTAGAGATGAGAGTAGAATTGAAAGCACTTCCAAAATTATACACTGTATTTTCCTTCAACCTAAAAATAGAATTAACCCTTCACATGTTATATTCCGAAAACCACATAAGGAGTAAAGTCTAAAATATCAATTTCAATTTAATATTGACCAGATCTCAATAAAAATAAAAGTAAATCAAAGAAGAAAAACGTACACACCATGCCTATGCATGTACATTAGCTTATGCACATGTGAATAAAATTAGACATTTTTAAACCTTTACCATCATGACCACTATGAAAAGCTTTTTCAATTAATAATTGAGCCTGAAATAAAGAAAGCCTTTCTCACCTTGATGCAGGGCGGACAACAAAAACATTATGTATGGATTAATGTATAATATATGAGATCCTATCTGTTTTTTATTGACTAATGCTTCAACATCAGTCACCTAATTCATATCACACATCCATACATACCTGAGAATGATTATTCCCACCACCATAACGTTGTTGCTTTATTATGTTTTTTCACTGAGAAGAAAATGAAAGAGCATCATGAAAAATTTAGTTCCAATATACCTGAGAACAATTCACATGTTATTACCTTAAACTGGAGTTAAAGTTACTCACCCATTTTTTTTTTCATCACACCAAGACAAAAATAAAGGAAGACTTGTAATCCTATAAATTAGCAAATACTCTACTATCCTAAATTCCTAATCCCACTTGACTTCGCTGCCCCACACCTTTGTCCCCTGTCTCCCATTAACTAAAAACACTCCCAAATCACATCAGCCAGCCATACAACAAAGCCACTGGCCACATCAAATATTAGGCACAATTTAGGTAACCAAATTCAAAGAATAGAGTTCGGATAACGAAATGCAAAGAACACGATACATATTGTAAAATTCAAGAACATGATTCAAAGGATTTGAACTATATTGTGTTGAAAACTTACCGAAGAGCGACGATTCCAGGGCGGTAGCGGTCAGGCTTCTTGACTATCCAGTTGTGGGTGCTGATTTTATTGAAGCCTCAAAATCAAAACAATTAGCAACTTAGATCCAATAACTGATTGTTTCTTGGAAAAAATAGCTTGCAATTATTGACCCAACACAGATTTTGCAGCATTAATTAAGAGATAAATATAGTTTATTTACTTGTGACTAAATCTTTCTTGTTTTGTGGTAATTTGTATAGCAGACAGCCAATCAATATGTATAATTATTCAAACAGATTAAGACTCCTAATCAAATCAAATCGTTTATGGTGCAGCTGATGAATAATCGAGAGCCGAAGCGACTCTTGCTTTTGAGTGATAGAAAACCTTGCAGTGATAGTCTAATCGCCGCTCTTGCTGATGTCGATGCTATCGCCGTCTTGACGCTCGACATGCTTCTGGCCATACTCGTTTGGTTGATGGTGTAGTCGTCTTCCACCATCTGCTTGATGGTGTGTGACTCCACAGCAATCGTCTCATCGACCTCGAACACCTCGCAGCTGGTGAGACTGAGAATGGCGATTGAGAATCGGTAAGGGATTTTAGGGAAATTACTGAGTGAGAAAAGATGGATGAGGGGATTTGATGGATGGCTAGAGAGAGAAGGGAGAGCAAAAGAGGAAAAGAAAAGGGGAATAAAATTTACTAAACACAGAAGTAGACCTGTAAACGAGTCGGGTTTATCGGGTTTTGGGTCAGGTTCAATCCGACCCGTTAAGTTAACGGGTCACCCATTTCACCCGTTAACACCCGTTAATGATAATAATGATTATTGTAATTATTTTTTGCATAGAGTTTATTTTTGTTGTTAAGACTTTACTGAAATTACTAAAACATCATCAACTAACAGGTGCTAATGGGTTGACCTAAAATGACCCGTTATTTAACGGGTTGTTAACGGGTTCACCTGTTAGCGACCAGACCCGTTAAGCATCCACCCAAATATTAATATTAATGGGTCGGGTCGAGTTAACTGATCGGGTCCAAAATGCCCGGTCTACACAGAAGTAAAATTAATAGAAATAAATTATTGAAATTAAAACCCAAATTCCAGAAATGAAGAAAAATGGAACCCCAATATGGAAATTAATCACCTTGGGGAACATCTTCGTGTGATGGAGGGACTTGTGGATGTCCAATTGTCCATGGCGTAGTCGACCGTGTTGGTCATGTTAAGGAGCTCGATCTTGGACTTGAGGATTTGCTCATCTGGATACATTTGACGCTCTAGCAGGAACGGGATGAGGGAAAAAAAATGAAGAAATTTGCGTTTAGGGATATGGGTTTGTCGTAGAATGCTGGAATGATATGAAGAATTAGGGTTTGCGGAGAGTAGCAGAAACTAAGAATGGCCTCATGTCTGCCCTACAATCCCCTTACCATCGATCCCAAATTCCCAATCAATCCCAACAATTAAGATGACAAAAGTACCCTCCAAACTTTTAATCCAGGCAGTTCGATCTTACCCTAGATGGGCATTCCCATCATTTGAACACCCAAAGGGCCAGCCTCATCAACAATTGAGGTCAGCCCAGCAAGCACAACCCAAAACGAACTAACCTAGCCGCCTTCACCCCAATGGCAATCTTGTACATAAACTGAAATGGCATCCAAAACACTGTTCACATGAATAGTGCAATTTCCCTTCCTTCTTTAGACTAAAGTAATTAGTTTTGTATTTTATGCTTCTATCTCGTTTCTAGGCAGACAATTAGATAAATAGAGGGGTGTTGAATTATTTCTTCAGAAGTAAAGCTTGATTGTTTGCAATTTTGCATGAGAAGAGTCAATTTAGAATTTAATTCAATTGGTTATTGACTTGTTTTTTGAAAAATACTTGCACGATCAAAACTGGGCCCCTTTTTTCTTTTTTAAATTATTTTGTATAATAAAACTTGGCCATGTCATAAAAAATGTAGACATTATAGTTGTCACATCATTATTTAATAATAAAATTGATATAAAACCTAACGGGTTTATGAAATTGAAATGAAAAATAAGTAATATGAGAGTGAAATGTTGTAAAAATGTTGTATGAGATTACAATTGAATCTAAACTTGAAAGTACAAAATGTAATTTACCCAATAATTAATCAATGGTCTAAGAATGCTCTAAGATAATCTTTAGTGTATATTAAAATAAATTTTAACTCCTTATTAAAAACGACTTGTAGTATTATGGTCTAGTTGTACTCATCTTTATTTGTAAATGAGAGTTATTACATTTATATATCAAAAATTGCAAATTTTCAATTAATTTATTTTCCAACCGCTTAGTATAAAATAGCAAATGATACCCGCACGATGCTGCGGTATTAAAAACCATATAATTTTTTTGTATAAAGTACTATTTTCATACAAAAGATAATAATTGATGTGTATGTACATACTATTTACATGCAAAAGATTTGGTAGATATTTCATATAATTAGCCTAACACAAACTATAAGGAAGCCGTCATGCAAATTGCAATTCAAAAATCGAAATACAAACATGAATCAGAAAACTACCAAACATAAATCCAAATCTTAAGAAGTTTAAATATTATAAATAAATAAATAAAGAAAAATCCATGATCTAAAGATAGCCACCAACAAACATTCGTTCATTTAAAAATACCCAAATTAATTTCAAATGAAATCTGGTGGGGGTCGCTTCAAACGAAATATCTACAACCCACATTAATTCAAACGAAATATTCACAAACCAAGCTATATTAATTCATTCAATTAATTATTTGCTTCCGCTGCCCAACCCAAATTAGTTCAAACAAAATTTGCACAACACAAATTAAGAGATCAAACCAGATCTACACAACCCAAATTAAGAGATCAAAACCAAGCTAATCTTTTTCTTTTGGATTTCTGGGAGACAGATCCCTTGGAGTCGGCGAATCGAGCTGGATGAGCTGGGCTGTCAAGACGGCGAGAGGAAGCTCGCCGAGTGATGGCGAGGTGGGCGATGTTGACGGTGAGAAGGAACGGCGCTGTGGTTCGGCGAAGGAAGAGAGAGATAATGATCGAAAGCAGAAAGGATCGAGCGAAAGGGAAGAGAAAGAAGGGAGAAGGAAGAAAAATATAATAAAAAAGAAATCTGAGGTACAAAATCAAAATTTGGCTAAATATGTGTGGGCAAAATCGGATGAACAATGTGCTTATAAACAGTATTTATGTTTTTTTTTCAGTTTTAGTATATATTAAATTTAGGTTTTTTTAGCTAAAATAGTCCTTAAGATTTGCATAATTTCTCACTTTGATCCCTGAAATTTCAAATCAATAGAAGTGATCCCTGAGATTGTGGGTCGAATTTGGTTAAGAAACGATTTTTAATTATTAAGCTTTGAAAATTCCTCAAACTTCCGGCCAAGAGCTCTGGGACACTTAACGGAGTTTTTAATGGAAGAACCAAAATAATTGATGATGGACAATCTCATGGACCACTTTTATTGATTTGAAATCTCAGATATTAAAATAATGAGTTATACAAATATCAGAGACCTCGACCAAGAGCAAACAAATAAACGATAAAAATAGTAAAATTGTAGTCAACTTCTTATCTTTTCTGCAGTATAAAAATTTGAACCAAAGCTTGAAATTTGTTTACTTTTTACCTCGATATGCCAAATGGGGTGTGATATCCACACACCCCTTTTTACTTCTCTCACACCATTTTAATTTTCGGCCGTCGAATCAGATGAATTAAAGAAGATCAAAGGATAGAAATTAATAAGGGTGTGGGAGAAGTAAAAAGGGATGTGTGGATAGCACACCCCATGCCAAATTTGGTTCACATTTTGACTGTTAGTGAGGTGGAGGGTTGCGGCATTTTAACACGGGCTAGCGTGGAAAATAATGCTGGTTTGAATGCTTATGAGCACGTAGGTCTTAATTTATTGGTGTCAATGACACTAAAATAAGTATGTGTTCAATAGAAAGTGAATACATTGTAGTTAGAATAATGCAAAATAACCTTTTGACTTAAAGCATTGTAGTTGTTGCTGCAATCCGTACTTTAAAATATCGTATTTTATTTTCGAGAAATGTAAAACAATCAATACCCCTTTGTGGGCGTCTTAGTTCAGGATCTTGCGGTTGGGGTGAGTTCGGATTCTCGTTTTTGTTCATCATACATCGTACGGTTAGAAATTATTTTAAATATTTCGGTAAATTTCAAAAAACTACCTCAATTATGGGTCGGACTACAATCTCATACTTCATGTTTTAAACATTGCAATGTCATACCTTAACTTATGAATTCGTCGCAATGTCAAACCTCTATTAAATTTTCTGTCAATTTGACTATTAAATGATGACATGGCATTGATAGAAAAGTTAACAAAGGTCTGACATTGTAACGAATTCATAAGTTGAGGTATGACATTGTTATGTTTAAAACATAGGTATGAGATTGTAGTTCGACCCATATGTGAGATAGTTTTGGTTAATTTATCCTAAATATTTTTATTTAAAAATAAATATAAACAATACTTGATAAAAGCTGATCGCACGATATACGATGAACATACACGATCCACGAATTCTCAGAATTTTCAAAACCTGAAGAGGATCCCGTTGGGGTTGGGGCAGGGGCCATAGGGGTACCTTTTTATCACACACATGAATTGCCACGTGAGATGGGCCCCAACAAAATAAGGAAGTTTTCCACCTTCTTTAATATATATAAAAAAAAAGTTAATTACAAATTGCTTCTTGAATATCCTTATTAAACACACGTTTCAATGTTAAGGACTAACTTGGGATAAAAAGAACCTCAAAAGTGGAAGAGATAATTAGCCACTATCACTTGAGTCTAATAATATTACTTTTTTTTCATATAAATAAGAGGTATTAAATTCGATTTTTATTCAAGTAATTTGATATAAAAATAATTAATGTCGGTTTATTGTAAAGCTTAATCCAATTTTTTTCTCCCAATATCGCTGTATAAAAAAGTGTAAGAGATTATGAAATCAACCCCTATAAAACTAGAAGACCATAGGGTTATGGCAAATACGTGCATAGATAGCATCACTAGTAAAAAGGTTTCTATTTTAATTTATTACAAGCGAAATTATTCTAAACTATTAAGAGTTAAGTTTGTTACAAGTTTAACATAAGTTAAAAGGGTTTATAGGTTACCCAAATAGAAATTCCGTCCAAATTATTTAATAAATGGGCTATCTAGTCATGACAGGGGGAAAATGATTCTCGCCGGATCTATTTTCTGAGGATCTTAGGAATCCTACGATCGTGACCGTTCATCGTACATCATGCGGTCAGTTTTCGTCAGGTACTATTTATATTTAATTTTAAATTTTAAATTTTGAAATGATTTCTGACCACACGATGTACGATGAACGATCACTATCACGGGCCAGGAAAAGGATCTGGCAAGGATCATTTTCCATGACAAGGTACTCATTTAATGATCAGATCGTGTTCAAATTTCTAACTCGTTTAATACGTATATCGTACGCGAATTGGAGATTTTTGACCCGCTTAATACCTCGACTCGACCCAACACAACTTATGTGACAACCTGTCCCTAAAATTTTTTTTTTAATTATTTATTTTTAATTGAGGGAATTGACAAAATATC